CCAAATTTCCCAATGCGTCCTGCAAGGGCCCCACATTACCCGGGACCTTCTTTTTACCCCCTATGTATTTAAAAAAGGACTTCAAAAATGACAGATCCAGAGACTGTTTGGTGACACCTCCTTTTGGCTCTGTGTAGGATGCCCACAGGTGCCAGCCCAGTATACCTATCTTACTAGCACTCCCTATTTTCTCCCTTTTTTGATCAGCTGGTGAGCTCAGAGCTGGCTTCTTACAGGGGCCAGATACAGACATTACACTTATACTGGTATAAGTGATCAGAAACAGGTCTACATCCAAAACTTGACAGAAGTTCAGCACACATAGACTGCTTTAAATATTGTGCAACCCAGTCTAAGATAGACCTGGATCGATATAGTGTCAGATTTAAGTGATTTATGTTAAACCAGTCTATTGAACCTCTGTACCAGATCCCCTCCTGACTCAAGTTAGGTTGCTTTCCCTTTGACATCCCAGCCTACTTTGTGACTCCCCTGTAACCTCCCCTGGAACTCAGGTCAAGCTCAGCTGCTCCCACCAAGTGCTTAGTCGGCCCTGCCCCCCACAGGCTGTCACAGACCTGAGTCTACATAGTGGCTGATGCTTCAGTGGGGATGTGGGGTAGAGGGAGGGTTGCCTGACTCCAATCTTGCTCTCTGGAGCTGTGCCAGCTCAAGGAGATATGGGGGTTCTTGGGTGGGCTCCCACACACTCACCCAGAGACCTCCATGGCTCCACAAGCTGGCACAACCTCAGAGAGCAGGACCAGGCAGTCTTGTATCCACTATGTGCCAGTAGCTGTCATACTTGTGGCTGAAACTGCCAGGGGGGACAGAGGAGGGCTTCCAAGCTCCAGGAAACATGTGAGTCCCTGGGTGGGCTGCCACACACCCAGTCAGGAACCCTCACCCATACCTTCACAAGCTGGAGCAGCCCCAGGTAGCAGGATCAGGCTGCCAGGTAGCAGGATCAGGCCATTAGGCCTGACCAAGCAGGGTTGCTTCTGCTGCGTGCCAGCGGCTGTCATGCCTGTGGCTGATGCTGCTGAGGGAGGTGGGGGGAGGGATGCTGTGCCATGCCTGGCAGCCTGTGAACAGTGGCCTGGCCTAAGGAGTTGACAGGGAGGTATATGAGAGTGTCCCCAACCTGCTGGTCTCTCCCAGTACAAGTAGCCTGCATGCCCCAGCCCCACCAAAGGGCAAATGTGTGTTCTGCTTGCGACAGATCTAATTTAGGGCTCTTAGTATACAGTGCATAACTAACTCACTTTTGCCTCGGGCATTTTGAATGTCTGTACCTGGTCAGGGAGGTCTGGCAGGAACCTGGGCTAATCAGGCACAGAGGTCACAGCTTATTGCACATGTTCAGTGCAGACAAAGTTTGGGGGACTACACCCCTTTGGCCTGTTCCTGCATCTGCTACTGACTATTGCACATGTAAAATATAGGTGTAAAATATACTCTAATTTTTATAAAGAGCAGAGAAAGAGATTATGTTCATGAAGATAAACGTCTATTTTGTTTATACATATGTATAGCGTATTGACTCAAATCTAAGATGGAGCTTTTTCCATTCAACATGGAAAAAAAAAGAAAATTCATCTTAGATTTGCATATAACCCAGATAAGGCAGCTGCTGCCGCTCTGGCTCTGACTCCAGCCCCAACCTGTGGGAGACTGTACAGTGCAGACTGGGGGAAGCTCAGGGGAGATTGTGCAGTGCAGAGTAGGAAAGCATGGGGGAGATCATGAAGTGCGGGGTGGGGAATGCAGGTGGATCACACAGTGCAAAGTGGGGATTGTTTGGTGTTCAGCCTGGGGGAGCATACAGGAACTGCAACAGCTCAAGCTCTGGCCCCGGTCTTGAGCCAGGCCGGGATCTGCTGCTACTGCCTCTGCCTGGCTGGGGCTCATGGTATTGTGTGCTTTGGGCCTCAGGCTGAATTCAGAGCCAGAACTGCTGAATTGGGTAATGAGGGGGGAAGGCACTGAGGGTGTCAAATGACTGGGGCTCAGGCATAGGGAGAAGGGGAGAAAGTGCCTGAAGGCAGGCATGGGGCTCAAATAGAAGAGGAAGACAGGCACTGTGGGGTGGAGGGGGCAACACAAGTGGCAGGAGAGACAGGTGCTAGCAGTGCAGGCACAAGCAGGGGCAAGTGGCATGAGGAAAGATGGGGTAGGGTGGGAAAGGGGCATGATACCTGACATCCTCCCTTGCTGCTTCCTTACTTGCAGATTGCTCCCCTGCCACTGCAGCAGTTGGGAGGGGGGCAACAAATTGAAAACCACCCTCCGATTATTAGATTCTATCTATGGAAAATAATAACACATTTATAATTTTCCAGGGAAAATTATAGCTAGAACCTAATGCCTGGGGGGCAGGGAGAGGGGTGTGGGGGGTGGGGGAGGTCATTTTGACTTTGGAGTTGTGTTGGATTCAGGCAGATATGGTATTCCCCACTATTTTCATCTCTTAGTGCTATTCACTTGCTAAGTAAAATACATTCTTTCTTGTCTTTAAAATAAATGTGTACTTCATCTGAAACTAAACATACATACATTAATTCCTAAGAGATAAGGCAATGGGGAATTATATTTATATCTCTTCTCTGATAGTTAAAATTCTCATCCAGCTAGCTGGAATTACTCCCTAAAGGAACAATAATGGGATATTCTCCTAAAGGAAAAGCTAAAGCCCTATACTTTAAGACATTTAAAAAAAAACTAAAGATGAAGAAAAAAATAGTTGTCTGAACACAAACATCTCAACCAGAAAATATCAGTTCTTAGCTTTTACTTGTTTCCTTGTTTACTACTGAAAAATAACAAAGCAGTTCTTTCTTCAGAAAGACCACAGCAGGTCAGAAAGCTTTTAGCACAATGGCTTTGCATTTTAAACCTATGGGTTTATCTTGTAAAACATGTGCTGGTGTTTATGCATTTAAGGACATGTCTACACATGATGCTACATTGCTATAGCTATGCACTACGGTGACATAGCATCCATGGGTGTCTATGCATGACCAGCAGTTACTTTACCATAGCAGTGCACTCCCCATTATAGCATGCTGCTACAACGAAGTAGCTGCTAAAACTAGCTGTGCACCATGTGCACTGTGCAGTACGGGCGGTTAACTGCTCCGCGTTTTAGTACTTACTTTAAAAGATCTCACAGCACCTCAGAGTGCTGCAGCAGTCTGGTTGAGAGTCACTGATGTTAGGGCTTGGACATATGAGCAAGTTACCAATGAGGTAAAGAAGGATGAAGGACGGAGTTTTACAGCAGCTGTTGTAACTGACCCTGTGCACATAGTTATCCCATGATTAATGAAAGCTAAACTGTCATAGTTTGTTCTTTTTTTATTCATGGTTAAGTTATAGCAGACTAGCTTTTATTTACCTCAGAGTAAGTATGTATACATAGGCAGTTACCAAAGGGCAACTAAAACATTGGAAAGCCCCGTTTTCCTTTGTCCTATGGTTACTTGTTTGTGTGACCATGCTTAGTTAAACAACTTATTTATGCTCTCCAAAAGTGTAGGAGTAAGATATGATTCAATCAGATTAAATGACAAGTCTTTTAAAATGAATAAGTACCTGAAGTATATAATGTATATCTAACTGTGGGACTGATTACTAAAATATATGAATAAGGAAATAGATTTTGAAAGAAGATTAAATTATATTCATACGTAACAAGCATTTCCTTGGCAGTTACAGTAGTGTGAATCATATATAAGCCATTGCTCATCACAATTTAAGCTAACATTTATTCTCAGATCTAGATAAGGATTGTGTCAGATTAATAACAACTAAGGTGCCTAAGTAAAATGTAGTTCTCCCCAAATTCCTGCACAGTGCTGCTCATCCCTGGAAGTGTCAGGAATCTATAGCCATAGATATAGGCCTGCAAAGTTCCCTCTGTACCTAAAAGTCTGCTGCTGGGTATTCCTAGAGATGCCTTAATTTTGAAAGTGCTGTGGATCTAATCCTGGGCCTTAGCTAGCGGGCGTTTCTGAGAAGTGCCAGATAAGACGCTGCACAAAACACAACCACTGACATAGTTGGTGGTGGCCTTCTATCTAATAGCTCAGTGGTTAGAATTCTCACTCAGGAAGGTAGAAATCTAGGTTCAATTCTATCCCGTCTGAGGGGATTTGTAACTTCAATTCTCATCTTCCAGGTAAATGTTCAATCCGGCAATCCAGGCAATAGAGTATCTTATGAGTATCTTATGAGGTATTTTAGGATGGGGAAAGAATCATCGGGCCAGAGAAACCACAAAAGTGATTCTCTGGCCTGATGGCATACTGTATATGGTACTCACCTGGGAAAAGTTTGGGTTCATATTCTAATTAATAACTCACAATTTTCTATTAAGAATTCATTAGAGGAGAGGTTAGTTCCAGGTCACTTCCTACCCATGGGAGTGAGAAAGGATTATGAAACCACAATAGTTGGTACCCTAGAGAAGAGTGAAACTTAAGACACAGGCCTCTTTTTAGTAATTCCTCCTTGCTAAAATAAGTATCTCTTCACTTGGTGTTTTGGCCTTTTCAAATCCCGTTCTAAGGTGTCCACAGTGTTCTGCTATTTATACAGGGGACCTTAACTCAGGGTTGGGGATGCAACTAGGTAGCAAGATACCTAAGAGTTAAATATTATAGTGCTCAGCATTGTGACACCAGAATCTTATCATGGATCTAGCCTAAGGTCAATAGCACTTTTTTCACAGGATTATGCTCAACAGTTTGCAGGTCTAAGTCCTTAACCTTAGGACAGAGATATTGGCCCTCATCAGTCTTCACCAGCAAAAAGCCTTAACATTAGCATAGTTGGATGCACAACGCTTGCCAGAGTGTGCATCAGCATGGGGGCAATGGTTCCTATTCCACCCAGCACCTATGTTCTGCCTGTCTTGTAATCAAATGATGCCTGCTTGCCTCATCTTCATGACAATTTGCAGCCAATCCAGGATCATGAAAGCCCTATATATGGGTTAAAGTCATCCTCATATTCCTGCATATTTTGTGTTCTCCTCCCTTAGGCTGAAGCCAAGTATATCAGACACTATTTTATTTTTTATTCTTTAAACACCTTGTGTATTTATAACTTACTACTATAAAACAAATTGGGTTTCCTAGATTAATGCATTCTAAAGAATAAGCTTGAATCCCTACATCTAACAAATATTTTCTCTTTTCTATTTCTGATGTTAATTATTCTATTATTTATACCATGGCTTCTTCCATCCAAACAAAAGGTAATATAGGTCAATACCTACTTTTCTTTACTGTTTAGATGGAAATGTTAGTTGTCACCTACCATATTAACATCTATTTTCTACAACACTTTTTAGCATGCCACAAAAATTAAGCAAAATAAATAAATTAATTTATATTATTTCTCAGACACACACCTTCCAAATATATCTTGGAAAACAAAATGAAATGGAAGAACAATTAATCTTTTTTTTTATATTTGCCTGTGTTTTCTTTAAATGTCAAGTGTGTATACTTTATTGCTTTTTTAATACACGTGGTGAAAATAAGAGGATTGTATTTTATATAAACCAATCTGATATCTTTTAATGTTATTTGAAATTAAATGAATTATAATTTAAAGCCTACTTTTAAATTTGTTATTTCTTGTCATTAAAATGACAGTTTGTTTTTAGTAGTTGGTAAAATACTGATAAAGGATGATCTTCATATTATATGATTTGGGTTTTTTTGCTTTTCCATTTCAGTTTTGTATATTACATCTTTGTTAGTTGACATAGTTTGTATTTTTTGTCTTTTCAACTGTATAAAATATTATTAAAAGAAAGTAAAAAGAGACTATTTTTTCAAATATTTCAAAATTAAATCTATCTTCTTGATAATTGACTTGTAAGAAGAAAAATAAACAATCACTCTCTTAAGTGGGTTAAAAAAAGAATTCCTACTTTCTTACAACTGTAGACACAACAACTAAGAGCTATATATTGTCCTTGATCCATTGATGCCATTCCTTTTGATGGCATTGAGATTAAGGGCTGCACAATACTAAATTATGTATCTGTACATGCAGTAAAACAGCTACTTTCACTTAAAGTTCAATTATAGACTTATCCAGGAATCTGTTTTTAAAGTTTTTGAAATTAAGAAAATAAATGTAATAATATACCTGCATAAATTATCCTTATCATTGTGTGTATTGAAAGAATCAAACAATATTTAAAGTAGAGGCCAGAATTGAGGAAGATGTTTTCATATTGATTTATACAAACCCCATACATACCCACTGCATATTTTTTAAGATACAAGAGTCTTGTTGCATTTATTTATATGTTCTATTTTCTTCTCTGCAGAATATGACCTGGAACCATGCGATGACCCTGGTGTTCCTGCTTTCAGCAGGCGAATTGGCTTTCACTTTGGTGTTGGAGACTCCTTGACATTTTCTTGTTTTCCTGGATATCGTTTAGAAGGTGCTAATAAACTTACCTGCCTGGGTGGTGGTCGTCGTGTTTGGAGTGCACCTCTGCCAAGGTGTGTGGGTAGGTGGTCACATGCTTTCATTTCATTCATCAAATCGTTAATACCACATGACAAATGTCAGAACAGTGGGCTGAGAACAAAGTGCTAGTGGTGAGGGACTAATTGCCAAGCTTTATTTGCTCAGGGATCAGACAGCTATCATTCTAAATAGTGCTTCATTACTGTAGTTATAAAGAAAAGTAGAAAACAAAAGCAAATAAGGATGCTTTAAATTAACATATGGATGGAACAATGTTTATCAATCAAAATTGTAGTAGATGATAAGTCTGGAAGGTGTGTGAAGATAAAATGAAAAGGGTGGTATTTGAACTAGAAATATGTGGTTATTTTAAAAACAAGCAAAGGCAGATATTTCCCCATTATCTTCCAGAATAAACAGCTATTCTCCAGATCTTTGTTTTGAAAAGTGGTTTTGTTTTGTTTTTAATAAATTCTGCACATTGGCTATTGAATTAATTTTTCAATAACTGTTCTTCCTGTGCTTGAAATTTAAAAATTACAGGCTTCTTTTAAGAGCTGTAATAAAGCTAATGTGGGTTTTTGGAGATACTGAAAACAGAGTTTTCAAACTTTACAAATAGTATATATGATTTGTGGTAGTGTTTTTTGTGATGTTTGATAACTTGGATTGCATATACACCGTAAGGCACTAGCATGTGAAACTATCAATTGCTATTAATATAATGCTCCTGAAATAGCAAATACCTTCAGT